GGCTCCAGGTGTGCTTCAAAACAAAATACATTTTATTCATTGATGCAGGTCATATCACCATGCGTGGCAACGTTTCGGAACCTGTCGGAGCCCTTCATCAGGCAAACAAAGTCACTTTTGTTTGCCTGATGAAGGGACCGGACAGGTTCCAAAAGTTGCCTCGCATGGCGATATGACCTGCATGAATGAAAGGATTACATTTTTTATTAAAACCTGGAGTGGTGGTCACCATTTTTCTGTTTTGGCTGGGCTTCTGCTCACATATCCACAAGCTTACCACCACCACCACCATACTCTGCTGACACCACCTGGAGGTACAGCTCTCCATGGGATTACAGACGATCCCCTCTGCAGGGTTGATGGGCTCACCTCCCAAGATATACCAGCGTGAGTGCATTTCCTCTCTTATTCCCATTCCAATACTGTCACAGTTTCATACGATCATTGTGCTGGTCGTCTTGTGTGTCTTATTGTCAGATAAGCTGCCCTTTTCCACTGAACATGTAATTCTAGCCCTGGACAACGACAAAGCCATCCTCACAGACAACATGTTGTATTGAGCATCCACACCATAAGTGCAATATAAGTTTCTGTCATTATTTCCTATATCCCCCATTTATTGAGCTGGGTTGTGGTGCTCTTGTGTTTTTTTTAAATCTTTTATAGAATAAGCCTAGCAGACAAGAAAGAAAACCCCAACTACATTTTCCTACAGAGGCTACCGACTATACATTGTTGGTAAGGGATCTACTATCATTAATGCTTGGGCCTTTGCATTGCCCCAGCAAATCATTTTTTTTGTTTTACCCGTTAAAGCCTAATGATACATTTCTCGAAATTAGACCTTTTACAACTTATACAATGTATTGAGAAGCGTATAAAGTGGAAGGAAAATATGTTTAGTGATTCTCACTGTAAATAAAACAGGGAAAAAAGGGGGAAACAGCATTTATGCAGTCTGTTGTTGTGCTGATAAAAAGAAACCTCTAAGTATGATGTAAAAAAAAAGAAAATATTAAAAAAGTGTTTTTTGTTTGTCAATTTATACTAGTTTCAAGTCTTACTGCAAATGTATAAAAATTGCAATCGGTATATTATTTAGGATATATAGCAGTAATCTGGGACAGCTGGGGGTTCATGTGCCCCTCCACCTGAACAGGAGACTATACCAAATGTACCTGTGACTTCACCAGGGAGCAAATAAACATGCTGCTCAGGGTTCTTTGTCAATGCACTGTATGCATGAAAATATTTAAATTAACAACTATCATGTTAGTACTGTCATTACATTTAAGACTTACTTTGTTTCTTCCATGCTGAAATTTAGCAAGTCATTTTCAGATTCTGTTGTAACTTCACCCCCATTCTGTTCTGTTGGTGGTCCCGAGTGGCCAGTTTCTGTGCTGGAAGTTACAGTTGGAGGAGCTATAAACTCTTCACCTTCTATAATGGCTTGGGAGAGCTCATCAGCTGTCACAGCTGCAAACAAGTATAAGCAGTGATCAATATTTAGTACTGCCGCCCACAACTTTAGAAGTTGTATTTTCTCAGGTTCTCACAGTAGAGTGTAAATATACAAATTACTTTTTCATATTACAGTGTAACAAATTATAATCAAAGCTGTATAAACTCAAACTATCAACATCAAACAAATCACTTGAAATTAGGAAACTGGAGAAAATGTCACAGCTACAAAAGCAGGTATTCTACTTTAATACTTTTCATAGGAATTCTTATGTGGCAAGTCATTTCCTCAGGTAGGACATCTAAAAGCAGAGCCACAATTAAAATTACTTGTCTAGTATATACAAGCATTTTCCAGATGATCCCTAACATCTACTTAAAAATACTCTAACTCCTCCTTGCAATATTCTTAGCCATTTTCATGCAACATGTACTTCCTTTTACAACTGGAAACCAAAATAAAATTTGGGAAATATGGAATTGAAATATTTGGCAACACTTATACTTTATAATTGTGAGCTACCGATCCTTTTAACTACATCAATGCACAAACAAATAATTCAGTTATGTAATGTGCATTAGACCTTGAAAACCATTAAACCCCAGAAAGCCATTGTAGCAATGCACATTGGCACATTTATACTGAACTTCTTTCAAGATGCCTTTTTAGTTGTACCTACAATCAGGGGTGTATCTACTGCAAGGCAAACTAGGCATTTGCCCCGGGCGGCAATTTCCGGGGGGGGGG